CCTGGGCAGAGCCGTCGCGGCGGCCTGGGGTTCTTTCGCTGGGGGCCAGCTGGCAAACGGGCTCCTAACGCCGAGATCCAGCCCGGCAGACACCGGCCAGCTGTCTCCCTTATTTTAGGAACCGGCTTTTCCGGCAGCTCTGCCTGGTTTGAAAAGCCAAGTTGTGACACTTTTTGAAACCCTTCTCGCCTTCCAGAATCCTTGCGTAGCTCCGTGGCAATGCAAGCCGCCATGCAGTTCACTCGTGGCTCTGGTGGAAGCTGTCAGGGAGGTGCTGGTGAAGGGCAGGTGTCAGCATGGCTCGGCGAGCCCTTCGTCGCTGGCGCCCTCCTGGAGAATGCACCGAAAAGGGTTGAGTCACGCCAGCGTGGGGAAGGCAGCGCTCCAGATCCCGCACCGCAAGACAGTGGTGTCGGTGTCACGCAGAAGGCGCTCACGGATAGAGGGGAAGCCAACTGCCTTCTGCGTTTTATCTGATGTTTCTTTCGAAGCGTGCTGTCTGCATAACACCTCTGTGAAAGAGCGTTTTATTGGACATGCTGGCGTGCTTTCCTTACCTGCCATGCAAGGAAGCATTGCTAGAAGAATGAGAGTTAACGGAGGGGAAGAAAGTACATCGGTATGCATACCGCCAACTTTTTCAGCATAAAGCATGCCTGAAATTGTTTTTCGGTCATAGACCCTGAGCAGGTGAAGATCGCTCTTGGTCTATTTGGAGCTTCGTGTTTACAGGGAAGAACTTCCTTCCTGAAGTTTGATGAGAAGCCCTGCTAACAAGCAGGGAAACTTAGTACGGATCTAATTAAATATTGGCAGCATTTAACTGGGTGTTTATTGATTCTGAGAAATAACAGGCTGTCAAGGAGACCTTCTATGATGTAGGAAAAAGCTTGATACAGCGCCAAAGGAAATTTACCCCCAAGTACAAGTTCAACTAAACACTTCCTATTAAAAATCTAAAGTCAGTGCAAAAGTTTTCATGTGTTAGAAACAGCCATCTCCTCTAAAAAGTTTAAACAAGTAACTATTCCCTAGTGGCTCCCCAAAATTACAGGATTACAGTTAATTGCCAACAAGGTGAAAGAGACTTCTTCTTGCCCAAAAAATAAATAGAGAAATCTTGAGATTTTTAAAGATGTTAATCTTTTAATTGGTGCAAGTAACTATGCTCTTAAAAATCCATCTCTTATTACGAGGGCTTTTAGGCCTTGTATAAAAGTAGCGATTGTATTCACGACCTCATGCATACCTTTTTGACTTACGATCTGCTGTTGGTAAAGTATGAAGAAGACTTCTGATCTTCTTTGGTGTTAATAGTGAGCTTTAGCTTACTGTCAAATTTCTTCATGAAGAGCATGAGTATTAAGCCACTTTGGTCACACAACCCCAGGCTACAGGCCTGGGGAGGAGTGGCTGGAGAGCAGCCCGGCAGAAAAGGACCTGGGCTGATTGACAGCTGGCTGAACATGAGCCAGCAGTGTGCCCAGGTGGCCAAAAAGGCCAACAGCATCCTGGGCCGTATCAGCAATAGTGTGGCCAGCAGGAGTAGGGAAGTGATTGTGCCCCTGTACTCGGCACTGGTGAGGCCGCACCTCGAATACTGTGTTCAGTTTTGGGCCCCTCACTACAAGAGGGACGTTGAGGTGCTGGAGCGTGTCCAGAGAAGGGCAACAAAGCTGGTGAGGGGACTGGAGCACAAGTCTTACGAGGAGCAGCTGAGGGAACTGCAGTGGTTCAGTCTGGAGAAGAGGAGGCTGAGGGGAGAGACTTTTGCTCTGTACAACTACCTGAAAGGGGGTTGTAGTGAGGTGGGTGTTGGTCTCTTCTCCCAAGCAACAAGCGATAGTACGAGAGGGAATTGCCTCAAGTTGTGCCAGAGAAGGTTTAGACTGGGTATCAGGAAAAGTTTCTTTATGGAGAGAGTGGTCAAGCATTGGAACAGGCTGCCCAGGGAGGTGGTGGAATCACCATCACTGGAAGTGTTCAAAAAACATGTAGAGGTGGCACTTCAGGACATGGTTTAGTGGGCATGGGGGTGTTGTGTTGATGGTTGGACTTGATGATCTGAAAGGTCTTTTCCAATCTTGATGATTCTGTGATTCTGTAGTGGCTTTCGCGTGTCTGTGGCAGTAATTTGAAGGTCAAGGAACTTCCTCTTGACCCTTTACTTGTGCATCATTAGTATAGCTGTCAAACCTGTCCCCCTTCCAGTCACTGAAATGTCATTTCTTGTATATGTATTGGATTTATTATTTGATTATAGGTGATGCCATCCTTTCTAGCTGGATGGCTAGTCATTACTGGTGATACAACTTGAGTTATGAAAGTATGTTTAAAAAAAAAAAGGAATTCCTTATTATGTTCCTTTCTTTTTTGTAACTCAGCTGGCCATCAAGCAGCAAAAGGAGGACAAAAGTTACAAAGATACTGCTTATAGTTTTAGTCACTTATTTGAAATTCTGATTCCTGAAGTCTTAACACATCAGATGTGTCTTTTTTATACTTCTTTATATTATATTTTTTATACTTCTTCTGATCACTTTTTTATTTCTTTCACAGTTGTAATTTCTGTTTTTAAAAGCCTCTTCATGGTGACTTTGAATGGCATATTTTCAAAATAGAAAGTATTATATACTCATTACTACTGAACATTGCACATTTATGTTTTGAAGTTAGTATCTCCATCCTGTCTTCAACTAGGTGCTCATTTTAGGTCCTTTCCCTCCAGGCTGTTTCTAAATTTTACATATGTTCCAGTGTGACATCTCAGGGATCCATCTGTTCTGTACGTTTGCACTGTAAAACACCCTTTCATTCATTCTTGCCGCTCTTCAGTTTCATGCATTGATCGTCGTACTGATCTAGAAAAAGGTAGTCTCTCCCAAAAGACATCTGTGTGGAATGTTTGAGACACAACTTTCCTGCACAGATATTTTGATTTTCATCAGCCCTGCATATACGTATTCTTTAGAGACCTGTCTTGTCTTTATTGCATTCAACTCTTGAAGGCCCTTCGTGGCTATTGTGTACCCTCTCAGTTGTTCATCTACTAGTGGGACAGTGGCTGTTGCCTCTGGTCTGTTAAAGCAGAGCTCACTTCTTACATTTGCAAGATACCAAAACTTGAAAAAAACCCACAAAAAAGCCCTCCTCCTTACGTTTTGTAAGGAGGAGGCATTTATTTTCAGCTGGTGGAAAACTGATTACTTTGACCTTCTTCTGAGTCTTCTTCCCATTACTCATGATTTGTCTTGAAGCGCTCATCTGTTGGGGCAGTGTGACCTACTGTTTACATTAGTTTTTGTCATCTTTGTGTTTAACTGGCTGTCTACAACTTTTAGTGGTTGTACTGTATTTGGGTGGTAAGATCCTATTGCTCTGTTTCTAACAATGCTTCAGTTCTTGGTCTTGAGATCTTGGGGTCTAGGTAGAGAACAGGGATTTGCTGGCATTTCTGTAGCTCGGGTAGTACAGTCACCTTTTCTCTTACTCCAAGCTCAGGAGCAGATATTTACTTGTCTGGGATGCACTGCGTATCTCATGCCTTACCTATAATTTTCTTTTTGCGTTTATAATTGCAGGGCTGGCTAGATAGTGTATTTACTCGGGTGGAGGCTGAACTGCAGCTGTGTCTGTGCCCTCCCTGGGGCGTCGAAGGGAGCATGTGTGTCTCTTCCTGGGCACAAGATCTGCTTGTGTGGGACCGATGGCATGATGGGAAGGAAAGGTTATATGAACTGTGAAGTCAGGAGTCATTTCGTTTTACGGAGTCATGAAATAGCATCACGCTGCTTTGGAAGTAAACAATATTACTGTTCTATATTGCACTGTACTCAGTTTCTAGCACTGAGAGTTGTTTGATAACAAGGACTTTGGCCGCCTTCTCATTCGTGCATCTTGTTGGTTGCTTCAGGACCTATGTTTAGACAACAGTACCCTTCCGTAGTATTTAAATCTCTGCTGGCAAAACAGATTTTCAAAGATATTCAGACTTTCTCAAGGCTTAACATATTTTTTCAAAGGTTTAATTTATTCTGAATTTAAAACTGCTGAAAAGAGTATCATAACTGAATGGAGTGTAGCTATAGACAGATAAATGACTATGCAAAAATGGCACGGTAGCAATCCATATTTATACTCTGTCATTTTAATGAATTAGCTCAACTCATTCATTATATGATTTTCTATTCCTTTTCAGAAAATGAGCTGCAATTGTTGTTGTCCTTTTTGTTGTTAATGATGTTTCTTTATATTAGCTTTCAGTTTTGAGACAACACAGAACAACATTATGAAGTTTACCGTATTACTTCTACAACTTTAGTGCTAGTAGTAGAACCATATGCTTCTCTGCAAAGTTGACAAATACAACTCTGACAACTATGAAAGAAATATGCTGGGTGAGAGACTATTTTTGCATCAGTCTTTCAACTCCAGGTATGCCTTTAAGGGTCAAATGTTAATTTTGTAAAAATACATATACAGAAGCCTGTGTTTCTTATGGGATTCATAAGTCATTCTTTTGCTCCCCTGTATGGTCCAACTGAAAACAAAGAGCATCATTCTGAGTCTTTCCTTAGTTCACAATGTCTGAGTTATTCAATGTGTTGTTTGGTTTTTGTTTGTTTGTTTGGATTTTTAAGGAACGTGATATAACAGTGGTCTGGGAGCCTAGCTTAAACATGTATGTGAACCTATTTGATCATGCAATGATCACGTAAAAAAACATTCCCCATCCCCCATTATTTGGCTGGTGAAGAATGTTTAGATTATAGTACAGCCTTGAAAGATAAGTTAATTGCATTTATGGTCTTGGCTTCCATAACACCCTTCCAAATTTGTGTTATAGTCTGTATTACTTTGCAAATGGATGCTATGGTGTTTCTCCAGATCTTCAAAGTTACTTAATGACCTCTTTCCTTCCTACTCTTCTTCCCTGTGCATGCCACTCACCATAAAATGCCACCTATTTGTACTAAGCTTTCTAAATCTAACTTGGAATTATGCTTTTTCCTTTAAAGAGGCCACACTGTTTTTTGAAAGGTTAAAAGGATTTTACCAGGTACTGTTTAATAATTTCTGTCTTGTATATTGTGCGTAGTAAGACATGCCACGCGGTGCCTTTTAGTGTGATTACAATGTGTCTGAAAGTGTTTCATATAGCAAATACTTTAATCAACCACATAGTAATAACACTGTACTTTTAATACAAGAGCTTTCATCCTGGAGGTTGTAATAATCTCCCAATTTGTAGTGCTAGAACTAGCAGAACTTAATATGCAAATCTTACTGTGAAATGCAGTCAGCTCTGGGGTGAAATGTGATAGGCGATTAACAATGCACAGTAGCATTGTGTAAGAAGTTATGATATAAGGTGAAGAAAATATCATGCTAATTGTCACAGAATATTCTTAGTTTTGGGATGAAATGATTCATTAGGTATGCTGAAAGGATGTGCTCAGGTATTGGAAAAGTGGAGGTGTATGCTGCCTCTCTGAAGAGACGGTTGGACCATCTCTTATTGCCATTGCCCAGGCTATCAAGTTTTGTTCAGGTTTTCCCTCTGCTCTCGTGTCTTTCTGCCCAAGGCTACGTGAAGGTAGGTTTTGGAGCTGAAGAGTGGAACAAAAGGCTTCCACTTCTTGTAAAGCATTAGTAAAGAAGTGCATGTACATTAATGCTGATACTTTCTCCATTTCAAAACATCCCGTTGCTACTTGTGGAGGTAGATGCTGGGACAGATAGAGGTCTAAGTTCTCAGGCTTCCTAGAACACAACGGCTGCCATAGCTAATGGCCATACAAAAGTCTTTTTATCATACTGAGATTTCTAAAGCTTTTTACAAAATTCCTTTCAATAAAAAATTAATTCTTATATTGTGAAAGGTCCTTTATGGAAGAAAGCTTTAACACCTGACCTCTTCATCTTCCCTTATGTAGACATGTGTATGTACATCTTCTTTGGATTTTGTGTTCTCGCACAAAATGAATTCACAAGTGAGCCTTACCTCTGGGTTGCACGATTGTGGTTTATGGATTGCATGGAAAGGAACTTCTGAACTATATAAACGGAAGAAAACTTCTTATAATATTAGATGCAATATTCTGACTTGCCTGTCTTGCTGAGAAACTTGGCTACACCTTACCAGTTGTTTTAGATATTAGTCTTCTGACTGTCAATGCATACAATCTACGTCTTCATTAATGGAGTTACTAAACTTGCATTTCAGAGCTCTCCTGCAGGACATGCAGGGCAGTGCTTCAGAGATCCCAGAACAATTTGAGTGGGAAGGGAGCTCAGGAGCTCTCTAGTCTGAGCTCCTGCTGCGAGCAGGACCAGCTTGGAGGCCAGGAGCAGGCTGCTCAGGCCTGGCCTCATGCTGGGGACCCTTTTCCTTATGTCCAGTGGGAACCTCCTTGTTTCAGTTTTTGCGTCCTGTCCTTCCACTGTGCGCTGCTGGGAGAAGCCTGGCTTCCTCTTTTTGATGACCTCCTCGTAGGTGGTGGTGGGGCTGCTGTTAGGCCCTCCTAAAGCTGTCTCTGCTCCAGGCTGAGCCAGCCCTGCTGTTCCCTCAGCTTCTCCCCATAGCGCAGGTGCTCCATCCCCAGCTGTCTTGGTGGCCTTTTGCTGAACTCACTCTGATTTATCAATGTCTTCCCTGAACTGGGAGAGCCAAAACTGGATGCAGTATCTCAGTGTGGTCCAACAGGTGCTGGTCAGTGGGGGATGATCACTTCCCTTGGTGGTTGGCTGGGATAGAGTTGTTTTTTTTCCTGGTGGCTGGTATGGTGCTGTGTTTTGGATTTGGTATGAGGATAATGTTGATAACACACTGATGTTTTTGGTTGTTGCTAAGTAGTTGTAGTGCTTATACTAAGTCAAGGGCTTCTCAGCTTCCCATGCTCTGCCAGCGGGGAGGTGCACAAGAAGCTGGGAGGGGGCATAGCCAGGACAGCTGGCCCAGACTGGCTGAAAGGATATTCCCCGCCATATAACGTCATGCCCAGTACATAAACTGGAGTTCACCGGGGTGGGGTGGGAATCGCTGCTCAGGGATGGGCTGTCCATCACTGGGTGGTGAGCAATTGCTGCATTGTGCATCACAGGTTTTTGTATATTCCTTTATCAGTAATATTATTATTATTGTTATCACTGTTGTTTCCTCTTTCTTTGCTTTCCTACTAAACTGTTTTTATCTCAACCTATGAGGGTTTTTTGGGGGCTAATTCTCTCCCCTATCTCACCTGGGGGTGGAGGGGGCGAGTGAGCGGCTGCGTGGTACTTGGTTGCTGGCTGGGGCTAAACCATGACACTGTTAATACAACCCAGGGTGCTGGTGGCCCTCCCTGCTGCCAGGGCGTGCTGCTGGCTTCTGTTCGGATTGCGCCTGACGTGAGTCCTGGGTCCTTTCAGCAGAGAGGCCGGTGGTGCTGCCAGGGTTTTTCCTTCCCAGGCACAGGACTCTGGATTTTTCCCTGTTGAATTGCATGAGGTTCCTGTTGGCCCGTTCCTCCAGCCCATCTAGGTCCCTCTGAATGGCAGCCCTGCCCTTGAGTGTATCAGCTGGTCCTCCCAGTTCAATGTCATATGAAAACTTGATGAGCGTGCACCAGTGGTCCGCACTGGGATGTGCCTTGTTTACTGTCAGTGTCAGTGACCTGGAGAAGTACTAATGCCTTCACTTTGATGTGCTTTGCATGTGCACGGTATACTTTGCTTACACCTTTTTTGCCTCTCATGTTATTAACTTGGAGAGCTCGTGTCACCTTGCCCATTGCTTTTGTGCGCTGTACTAGAAGGAAACTATATTGTGTTCTTATTTTCTTTAGAAACGTAAAACAGCTAAAATAAAAAAAGTCATGGGAGTAGGAAAACCAGCGTATGTTGATCACTTAACTGATAACCCTAGAGAAGGCTGGAATGAGGAGAGATGGTCCTGTCCTTCACTTACTGTCACCAACCCCAATAGCTTGCTGCTTCACTCCTCCTCACTTCCCTTTGGCCAGTCTTCGGAGCCCTTCTAAAATTGAACTGTATCTAACTGGGAATTAACTCGTTAATGAGTAAACTTGACCTTCTTATTACATATTTTTTTAATCCGATTAGTAATAAAAGGCTGTTATCTTTATGAAAGTTGGAAATAGAACATTCTTTACAAAACAAAGCATGAAAATGTACTTAATTTTCAAAGTATGGAAAAGCATGAGGGCTGCAGATATCATATAAAAGGTGATATAGCTGATTTGTCTGGGAAAAAAAGAGGTTATATTTGAGCAAGAAAATTCTAAAACAAATAAAGTTTTGGAGACACCAAGATCTAGCAACTAAAACTATTTATCTACTTCTGTCGCTCTCTGTAGATATATTTAAAATTCTGTATCTTTCTCCCCCCCATATTAAAGTAGCAGATCCTTTATGGCATTAGAAGTATTTCCAGATGGGCTGAAATACAGCAGTAGCATTACTTCATCTCATTTGCAATTGCCATAATGGAGTTGGATAATGAACGTCTATTATTTGTTGAAACTAGGGTTGCATACCAATATTAAGGTAATTTCTTTACTGATGTTTGCTTTGAAAGGCTAACTCTTCTGCCATTCGTCAGGTAGTGGCATTCTGGAGATGAGTAAAAGAAGTTAAATAATATTTAAATCAAAGCTATACTTAAATAAGGGTTATAAGCTCTGATCCATCTATCCAGATTTTGAATTGTAGTATTTCAAATTTATTTGCTTATTTTCTCTACATCTGTAGTTTCAAATCAATACTGTTGTTTTGATTTTCAACATATTCATAGGAGTTTATTTTTATAGGTTGTCTTACTGGTTAACATGCTTTAACTTTACCACAGGCTTGCTTTTTATTTTTATTTTTTCCAAATCAAGGCAGTGCACCTGCTTGCGTGCCTATTGTATCAGTGGAGTCCTCAGTCTTTAGTTTTCTGTTTTTCAATTGTTTAAAGGCTTGTTCAGATTGTAGACAAGTTATCAAGCAAGTAGTATGATGCTAGTTTGCTGCTTCTGAAACTCTTCAGATTGTAATTTCTACTGTTTTCCTATTGGATATAGAGACCTAATTTAACATCAGAGTGTGCGATACAAGGACAGAGTTTAACATAATTCTTTGTGTTGAGCGTTCATGAGAGGAAGTTGTTTAAAATCCTGGCCTTTGCTTCTGGTGTCTGCTTATTCTTTGATGCATGGAGAGTCTTGGATAAAAGCTTTTGTTGAAGTGTTGCACTGAAAATTATGTAATTGCTTGTCAGCTTGTTCACTTCATTATTCTTTTGGAAGAAAATTACTTCTGTATTCCAGCAAGTAGAAGAGAGGCCTTTGCATAGGATACATACCATACTTTATTAAATACAGTTTGTAGTCACTCATTTTTCTCCCCCCCTTCTATTTCAGACTCCAGGTAGAGGTGGATCTCAGAGCTCGGATTCGGATTCATCAGCCACACCAGGAAATGCCGTGGACGTGAACAACGAAAGCTCCTCCGAGGTACTGTACACCGTACATGGGACTGGAGTCTTAAACCTTGGGTGCTGTTTCTCTGATCCACGAAGCTGTTGCGAGAAACTTTTTATGGCCTACCTAAATAACAGCTGTAATAAATAGATACTCAGAAGTGTAATCTAAGAATTGGTTGTTGCTTAAATAAAAAAGGGAGGCTAGGCCATATTTATATCTAACTGTTAATTAGGCTTAACTATCTAAATGGTCACAGGCAATCCTTCCTGTAATCCTAGAGGTGAATTATTAAAATTAAAAGCAATGAGACATCAGTTTAAGACTCCTCATTAATAAATCTTTTATGAGAGTTCTGAAAAACGAGGCTTAACGTTTTATCACACTTGTACTTTTCACCTTGCTTCTGCTAAGCTATAATCTATACTGGAAACTTCTTCCTCCTTGTGAAATATCAAGTGTGGTTTTTTTGTTTGGTGTTGGCGTATAAATCTACCACTTGTAAATCCTGTCCATTTTTTATGTGCTGTATGCCATACTTAACTAGCAGAATAAGTTGTTATTCTTGCTTCAATCCCATATTACAATGTCTTTGGATTTACAGTGTTGTCAAATATTAACTCTGAAAAATGCAACTGACTCCACTGGCTGTTGAAGCTAGTATGTGCTAATGTAGCTTGATTACCTAGCTTGAAAATGTTTCAAGCTTAGCATACAAATGCAGTGCAAGGTTAATTACTCTTACTACAGCATTAAAGGGAGCAAAGTGCCCTTTCTTACACTGAATAAAGTGTATGATGATTCAAATACCCCTATGTCTGCTAGATAAGAGATAAGAGAAACTTTTGCTGTGCTGTTTAAAATCCTAATTGCCTTCCATCTGTGCATCTGCTTATTTCTTATTTCTTGAAGCCTTATTACAGTCAGTATAATCAGACATGCCTTAATATTTTTCTGCATGTTATACATGTCATGCATTTGTGAGTCCAATCTATTTTGTATGCATATTTACACCACCCCTGAAGCAAATAAATATTCTTAAATTGCAGACTAAAATCTCATTACTTTTGTAGTTAATTAAGGCATAAAAATGCAATCAAAGTTTGGCTAAAATTGCACAGTTCTGTAAACATGAATGCAATATCACTGATGGTACAGCTGGTGTGTGTATCACAAGGTACCTCAAGACTAATGTAGTAGTATTTTCTTGACATAGGACGAGCTTCCAAAGCAGTGGTGTGCCCGCACTATTGCACCATTGGCTTTTCTTGTTACTGAGTCGAAACTAGGTCAGACCAAAGGCTGCCATGTCGCTTTTGGTTGATACTGTATAGCACGAAAAAGTATCTTTAGCTGTCGGAAATTCCACCATCTGTTGCATTAGTTGCAAGTGATGTGTTCTCCCTAGCATATAATTTCAAAATCTGTTTGAAACTGAGCTCTGAAGCTGGTGAGGGGTTCTCACTCTTCTGAGATTCACGCCTTATAGCACGCAACTTGAGCCTTTCTTTTGGCCTCCCTTTTCCTGTGCAGCTGGCCTGAGGTGGTGTCTCTCTGAGAACTTCCCTTTAGGAGCACCGTAGCCAGACTTTGCAGAATGTTTGCTCTCTGTTTTATCATTGTGTTCCCACCCGGTTCTACAGTGTAACGTAAAGTCAGAAATCCAGTTGACTTATTTTCTTGGCTAGATTTTCTAATTTGTATTGGTGCAAGATTCAAATGGAGAGTAATTACTAAATCTGTGCAGATTCTCATGTTTCCTACCTTCTCAAGCCTGGCTGAAATCAATCCTGATTTTTGAGAATTGTAGTATGAAACGGAAGGAGTGGGGAAGTCTGAATTCAAAGTGTTCCTTGCTCAAGGAGAGGTAAAAATCTGTTTTAGTCCTGTCTGTGGCCACATCAGCATTTCAGATCACACAAGACCTGTAGTCAAGTCTAGATACGTCTTTTATTCACTGTGCAATCTGCCCAAGGAGGAAACGTTTGAGCCTATCCTACCTTTTCAGTTTAGGTCCCAGTGCAACTCCTTCTGCAGTACCGGGTTGCTGAACACTCTGTGCTTGCAGTGGATCCACCAGCGTGCTTATAGTTTCATTAGTGTAATGTGGCTGCGTTAGCCAGACAGGTTTGTCACAGACAGCCTTTTTGGAAGGGGGCTTAACCTTTCCATGCGTGCACAGAGGATTGCGTTCAGTCTGTTCTGCCTTGCCTGTAGCACTCTGCCAAGGAGGTGCAGGCATCCTCCAGCCAGGAGTGTGGACAGAGGCCTACCACTCTTTACTCTCCACCCTGCTTTTTCTAGGTGTTTAAGTGTGTAGGGTGTGTCTAGAAGGTGTAAAGCTGTTGTTCTCCAGAAACCGATTTAACTTTTGGCCTTGGTAAATCTCTGGTGAGCACGCTGAGTTGTTTTTTTTTTTAAATTCTACTGAGGAAGGCGCATATTTTTCCCTAAGCAAGCATGCCAGCCAGGCATCACTGTGAAACATCTGAACACCCTTATGGGAAACTGCGTGGTGGATCTGATGTCTTACAATGGTCCGTTCACAATTTGTTATGCAACTTATTCCTCTGTCACATGAAGGGCATACCAAGAGTGTCTGGAAACACATAGTAGTATGCAGCATAGTGCTAGCTTTTTGAAATGTGTTTTGGATTTGTGTATTTTCATGTTCTTAACGACTGTTCCTTCTTGCCTTCTGCATGGTATTGATATGTGATTTGCAAAAGCTATCTTTCCAAAAGGAAAACAGACTTTGCTTTTGGTGCTTGTAGAGAACTTTCAGCATAAGAATTTGAACATCATTTGATTCCAAATCTGCTTTTTTGCCATTATTAGTTTCTTAAGAACAAATATACATTTCACAGGGCTTCATCTGTCCACTGTGTATGAAAGTGTGTGTAACTCCCACTGATCTGTCTGAACATTACCACAATGAGCACACTGGGACAGAAGGAAGACAGGATCTTCGTGACCTTCCAGCTGTTACTGTGGGTCTTGTTTATTTTGTTTCAATAGCTTTGGTAATGGGCTGCTTTAAATGAACATACATCTTTTTCTCGTGGCTTGGGTGTCAGCTTTTTAAATTGTTTCTTTTGATTCCTTGCTGAAACATAATTTGATCTCTTATGCATGATTCCAAAGTATACAGCAGAAGAATTAATCTATGTCTAGCTTTCTGGTTTGCTGTTGTCTCTCGCATAAAACATTTGCGGCATTGGGAGACTTGCAGTTACCAATGTATTCTTTTTGAGGAGCTTTTGCTTGATTTTCTTGTAAATAAGACTATTACAGTACTTGATTTACTTCAGACTCAGTGTAATGATAAATACAGTATTGGATCTGGTATATCCTTTGTGAAAAGACAGGTTTTAAGCTCTTATTAGCTAAATATTTTTAAAGCAGCTTTCTAATGGGAGATAGCTATGTTGGGTAAAAGACGGAACAGAGGACAGAAATATAAAAAATTTAGAAGCTTCTCTTCTTGAACATGTTTAAGATCCTTATGTATTGCAGCAACATTATAAAATACAATTGTAAAAACTATTTTTTATACAGAATTTTATTGGAGTTTTTTAAGCCCCCAACAAAATGCAAAGGCTGTTTCTGTTAACAGACATTATAAATAGTACTGTATTTCTAAATTCTTCCAATTGTGGAGTGTAAAAACTGCACAATTAAAACAAAGTGTGGGGTTCTATACTCCTCAACTGGAAAAATTTAGATTCTGTAAGGTAACAGCCTCCAGCTGCACAAGGCTATCTGAATTTTTCCTGCTGTGAACCTTCAGAGAGTACATTTGACTTCTGGGGACAGGCAGCTTGCCGTGCACTAAATGCATTTGTATGGAGGTGACGTTTTGCATTCTTTCTGCTGACATTACTTTTGTTGAGTTTTGGAATCAAAGTGTTTATTCTGGGCTGTGTGAGCAATGTGATTTTTATTGTGTTTTTTTCTGTATGTATTTGCTAAGTAGTG